TGGTCTAGTGGTTACAGTGGGGGGGCGGGGGGGGCTGGGAGCCCGGATGCCTGGGTTCTGTCCCTGGCTCTGGGACGGGAGTGGGGTCTAGTGGTTACAGCCGGGGGGGGCTGGGAGCCCGGACGCCTGGGTTCTGTCCCCGGCTCTGGGAGGGGAGTGGGGTCTAGTGGTTACTGCGGGGGGGGGGGGGGGCTGGGAGCCTGGATCCTGGGTTCTCTCCCTGGCCCTGGGGGCACCGATCACGGTCAGTAACCGGTCCCCCCATGTCTCATCTCTCCAGGCCCTAGAGCGTCATGGGGGTATCGACATCCTGGTCTCCAATGCGGCCGTGAACCCGTTCTTCGGCAACACTCTCGAGGCCAGCGAGGATGTGTGGAACAAGGTGGGGGATGGGGACAGAGCAGAGAGTGGGGGTTGGTGGGGGAGAGGGGCTGGGCTCAGAGGGGGGTTGGGAGACTAGGGGATGTAGTGGGAGTTAGGGGCAGCTGGGGGTCAGGGGGAGAGGGGGAGAGAAGCTGAGGGTCAGAGGGGTGGGAGGAGGGTCATTGCATGAGAGGGGACAGCTGGGGGGCACAGACGACGGGGTGGGGAGGGGAAAGGGCCCTGGGTGCAGCTGGGGGGCAGACTGTGGAGCGGGAGGGCATGGGGCATGTGGGGGGCAGAACCCGGACTCCCCCTGATCCCTCGCTTCAGATCCTGCAGATCAATGTGACAGCAACAGCATTGCTGGTTGGCCTGGTCGTGCCCCACATGGAGAAACGGGGGTGAGTGCGGGGGGACCTGGGAGGAGGGGGAACGAGGGGGGAGACCGGGGGGGGCGATGAGGAAGAATGGATGAGCGGGGAGGGGATGGGGGACACGACGGGGGACGGGACCCGGGGGGGAGGGGCGAGTGAAGGGGGGGGAGGGGACCCGGGGGGAGGGGCAATGAGGGGACATATGGGGGGAGGGGGGACAAGGAAGGGGGGAGCCTGGGGGGCAGCAGGTCTCTGGCTCATTCATTTTCTCTGCACAGGGGCGGCTCCATCGTCCTCGTCTCTTCCATCGCCGGGTTCTCCCCCATCCCGGTGAGATGCCCCCAGGCCTGGCGCAGGGGAGCGTGGGGTGGCTGGCGGGGACCAGGGGCGGTTGCTGTGGGGCAGGCAGGACGGGGGGGTGGTAGGGAGGAGTGGGGCTGGCTATTGGGTCAGAGGGGCAGGGGCTGGCGGGGGAGCAGGCAGGAGACGGGGTGGCTGGCAGAGGGGCGGGGAGGCGGGGCGGGGGGGCTGGCGGGGGCGGGGGCAGGGACTGGCCGTGCTGATCCCCCCCCCTCCCTACCCAGGCGCTGGGCCCGTACAGCGTCAGTAAAACGGCCCTGCTGGGACTCACCAAGGTCCTGGCGCCCGAGCTCGGCGCCCGCAACATCCGCATCAACTGCCTGGCACCGGGGATCATACAGACCAACTTCAGCTCTGCCGTGAGTGCGGGGGGAGGGCTGCTGGCGGCGGGGCCTCACGGGGCGGGGCACTGATGGGGGCGGGGCCTGATGGGGGCACTGCTGGGGCAGGAGCCTCACCTGGGGGGCAGGGCAGTGACCCCCAACTCTGTTTTTTCTTCCAGCTGTGGAAGGAGGAGGCCGTAAAGGAGAAAATGATGAAGAACCTGAAACTGCAAAGGTATCAATGTCCTCCAGTCCTCCACGCAGCCCTCCCTCATCCCCCCATCCCCATCCACCCCCCTCTCTCCATCCATCCACCCCTCTCTCCATCCATCCATCCATCCATCCACCTCTCCATCCATCCCCCCATCCCCATACACACCCCTCTCTCCATCCATCCACCTCTCCATCCATCCCTCCATCCCCATACACACCCTTCTCCCCATCCATCCACCTCTCCATCCATCCCCCCATCCCCATACACACCCCTCTCTCCATCCATCCACCTCTCCATCCATCCCCCCATCCCCATACACACCCCTCTCTCCATCCATCCACCTCTCCATCCATCCCCCCATC